CTGCCACCTTCAGAAAGTCCCTTTTGCAGCATTTTTGCCCAGCACAGACTCCAGGCACCAAGAGGAGGCAAAACCAAGGGCTGGGTCTGCAGTCACCAGGGCTGGGACACGTTTCCAGCTCGAGGAGTGGGTCCATTGGGACCTCATGAGGTTCAACACAGCCAAGCACAAGGTCCTGCATCTGAGTGAGGGCAACTCCTGGTATCGCTCCAGGCTGGGGGATGAAGGGATTGAGAGCAGCCCTGCCAAGGAGGACTTGAGTCTCTTCCAGTGGCTAAAGGGGCCCACAGGAAAGATGGGGAGGGACTCTTTATCAAGAATTATAGTGATAGGACAAGGGATAATGGTTTTAAACACAAAAAGGTTAGATTCAACCAGTTATAAGGAAGAAGACTTTTACAGTGAGCGTGGTAAAACACTGGCACAGGTTGCTCAAAGACATGATGGATGTCCCATCCATGGAAACATTCAAGGTCAGGTTGGATGGGGCTTTGAGCAACCTGACCTAGTTGAAGATGTCTTTGCCCATTTGGAATAAATTACCTTTAAAAGTCCCCTCCAACCCAAACCACTCTCTGATTTCCTCGTGGAGACACAATCTTGTTATGATGCCTGTTATTTAGGACAACGTGTCCTCAACAAGGCTCTTGCAGTTTGTCCCCTAGAGATTTGTCCCTTTGGGCTGAGCTGGGTCTGAGCAAGGCTGCAACACTCTTTGTTGCACCCTGAAGAAATGCACAACCAGAAGAGCTGGAGAGCCTGAAACCTCCAATGTCTGGTTGTCGTGAGGACACTCACGACTGATTTAATAGCGTGAGACTCAAAGTGAACTGATTTATTTTAAGCTCACTGAGACCAAGTTTGCCTGGCTAATGCATCCTGACTTTTAGATTGAAGACTTAAATATCATGAGACTTTGGACAGATTCTTTGGAGGACACACGGCTTGGGGGAGGAAACCAGATTCAAAAATAATACCTGGAATTGTTTCAACAGTGCTATATCTGATCTTACCAGGACCAAGGGAGCAGCCAAAGTATGGCCATCTGTTTCCGCTCCCCCCTGCCCTCCTGGCTCACTTCAAACCACCCCCCCCCGGCAGAAAAGGCATCGAGCATCCCGCAGAGGAAGGACAATTCAATAAACCTAAACCCAAAAAGGAACACTTCATTTTAGCAGAGGAAGCTGTAGTGATGTGACTCACTCGGTGGCTTTTGAGGCTCTCCCCCACCTTCCAGCACTGTCACTTAGAGGTTATTTTTGCGTTCGCCCTCTGACAACCGTGCAGCCCTCGAGCCACGTGGCTCTCCAAAACGTGAGGGTGGTTAAAGGCATCTTTGGGGTTGCTGCCCGCTGGGCTGAGCACACTCACAGGTTGGGATGTACGGGAGCCATCAGGGATCGTGCACCTCCAGTCCCTCATCTCTGGGACAAAGCATATGGCAGACAGGCAGAGTTTTGGCTCCGCTTCTCCCTGCTCCTGACCCGCCAGGTCCCCTGCCAGGGACATGCCTGGCCAGCCCTGTCCCTCCAGACAGGACACTGGGAGAGGGATCACGCTTGTCAGACTCGGTTGCTTCCCCCACTGCTCCTGGGAAACCTGTCCCACCTCCCATCCTGGCCACCCTTTGCTGGTCTGGGTAATGTTTTCTTATTGTGGTTTGGTCACAGAAGTCCTTCCTTTGTTCAATTTGGCCACTGCTTAAGGAAGCCTCAAGAGAAAGCCTTGATAGGAGCATTATCCATAGCCCTGGAGGTGAAGGTGGCCACTGTGGCCATGCTGGAGGCTGCTTAAGCGGCAAATATTCAGTGGAGATTCATCTTACACCAGCTCAAGGGCTTTGGCAGCCCCAGTGGCTGCTGCACACAGAGAAAGGAAGGTGCACAGCAAGAGCCAGGGCAGCTCTGTGACACAGACTCCTCTCAGACAGAGCCACTCTGAACAGCAAGACGGGTTTATCAGGGAATTTTCTGCTGCCATCCCAAGCCAATTCCCCACCTGAGCCCACTAAGACATTGCACTGCTGCACCCTCCTTCAGACAAGTGCTGAAATAGGACCTCAGGGATGGTCTTTTCAGGACTGCCCTATTAAGCCATCTGTATGGCCACATTGGCAGTAGGACCATACTGCAACACAATATGTTGCCTCTGCGCAGGAAACACACTCACAGAGCCCCCAGCACTTCAGCTGAGGGGGATTTTTCTGCCTGTAAAGCTGCACTGAGAGGCAGCTCCATCCCCCAGCAGGAAGCTGTGTCTCATTAGCAGAGGTAAACAATTCCTCTGAACGTGACGAGTCAGGAGAGCATATTAAATATGTCACTATCTCAGGGTTTCTTAATCCCTACTCCAGAACAGTGTATTGAGGCAGGAGAGGACCCCCCAGCATGGCTCAGAGTTCCACCACACCCCAGCTGGCATCCCCTCCTCTTTGGGGGGATAGTGGGGAGCACCTGGGCAGGTGCCTTCACCCTTCAGCCTCCCCCATCCAAGCAGGCCTGAGCACTCCATTCATTTCCCTCGCTCAGTTGTCACAGCTGCAAATAAAACAATGATAAAACCTATCCAGCCACTTGCCTTTAAAACATCAACCAACACATCTATTCAGTACCAGAATCACAGAATCAACTTTCGTGCTTCGGGGTGAGCACCACACTGGAGCTCAGCAGCCCTGGTTCCAGCCCTTCCTCCTGGCACACACAGAGGTGGCAAAAGCCACACACTGCTCAAGTTCAGGCTGTAACAGGAGGAACAAACCCCAGCACAGCACTCGCAGCTTTTCCATCAGGCAGGTGCGTGTCAGAGCAAGGCAGTGCTGAAAACAGTTTGAGTGTTGACCTGTTTTCTGATCTGCTTTCCCTGGCAGCCTCGTGCACACACACACACACAACGTGTGCTGTGTTTACAGGAGTCCCCTTGTCTCCCCAAGGCTGTCGCTGTCTCCCCTGCAGACGATCCTGGTGCTCACGTGCAGATCAGTTCCTCGCTGTTTTGTTTTATCCCCCACGCCGGCGGAGCAGCCTCCTGCCTTATTTACAGTGCATTACTCACACGCTGCTCTGAGCACAGAATTATTTATGCCCTCCTGAGCTTTTCAGGGCTCCTGGGTGCCGTGGCCTCCGCTCCCTTTGCAAAGCTCAGCGTGTGGCTCCGAGCTGTGGGGAGGCACCCAAGGCCCGTTTTACAGACACGGAATGGAGAAGCTCTAAGTAGTTCCCAAGACCTTTGGTTGCCCAGCTGGCAGTGGCAAAGCACAGATTTTCCAAAGCACCTTGTGTTACGCAGAGGTTTCCACGTTCAAAGCACAGCCCCAAAGCTCCCCTTTGCACCCATTTGTACCAGCCAGCTCCCCTCCTCTGCTTTGCCTGGGGTATACACAGGGCACCCTAAAAGCAGGTCACAAGCATTCAGACTCCAGCAGTTTCCCAGATCAAAGCAAGCCACGGTGCAGGGTCAGTCCCCAGTGCCATGGACACAGGAGCAGCCTCTTCCCACACCAGCAGCAGGGCTCCCCCAGTCCAGGGACACAACCAACCTGCAGAGATTGTAGCCCTACATCTCATTTTTCGGAGACCCCAGCTACCAGCACGAGCTCCCTGCACCCCAGCACAGCCCCAGCACTGCAAGAGGTCTCCAGAGATGGGTGGGAACACACTGATCCCCCCAAACAGCACCTTCCCATGGCCCAGCCACACACAAGGTACCCACAAACCAAACCACAGCATCCAGCTCGGTCTTACCTTGTAAATCCACTGTGCTTGGGAGGGACAGACCTCACATCCCAGCAGGCTCCTCACCTCCAGCCAGAAGCTCTGAGCAGCTCCAGCTGCTTTATAACCTCCTCCTCCTCTGCCAGGTGCCTCTGCCTCCCTGACAAGGGTCCCACTGCAGCAGAGCCTGCTGTTGTACCAATGCCTCTCCCTCTCCAACCCTTTGGATTTTGAGTCTGAGAGGGAGGTAAAGTGACAGCAAAGAGATGCTTCATATGCAAAAAAGATTTGCATTGTGTTGCAGAGTTGATCTGTGGTCTGTACCCACTATAACACAGACCTGCATTATCCCCAAGGAAGGTCTGACCCACCTGCTCACTCCTGGAAGCAGAGGCTGCAGGGCAAGTAATGCTGGGCTTTAACACACATATGGATGAGGAATAAACCCATTGGCACAGCTAATAACCCAAGTCCAAAGCTTCAACCTTCATGCAATGTCCTGGTGCAGCTCAGCACATGGATGTGTATGTGTGTCCCTACAAAACACTCCAGCTTGGCCATGCACTGTCGTTTGTGGGCAAAATGGGGTGGCTGTTCCTTTTCTCCCATTGCCAGGCCTGCAGGTGGTGGACATTTTCACCTGGATGGGATGAGCCATCCTTCCCTCCATGGTCCCTGCAGGCAGGAGAGGACCGTGGCACTGGGAGCACAAATCTCTGCTCTCCCTGCTATTCCTCAGTCCTGTCCCATCTTGGAGCTGGAGAAATTTGGTTTCCCTCCTCTAGCCATGCTCAGTGGTGTAGGGGGGGTGTGTCCCCAGGATTTTTGGCATCAGGAGCCATGAGAGGCAGGGATGTGTTTGGGGGATTCTAGCCATGCAGTTCTTCCAAGGCAGAGCTCAGCTTTCTGTAGGCTTGTGAATTGGCCAAGCTTAACCGAAGTTTCCCAGAGACCATCTCAGGGAAGGCACTTTCTATGAAAATTGCCCCTGTGCCAAATTGAAAAGCCCTTTCCCAGAGGGCCTTTCAAAGGAAACAGCTCAGCCATTCTTACAGTGGAGGCAAAACTGCATCTTTCTGCCTTAAATTCATTCTCAGAAATATCTTCCTCCAGAGCCAGGCCCGTGGCACACTCCAGTTCAGCCCAGCAGTTAATGTTTGACACAAGCAGCCAGATCCAGGGCCCGGTAAGGGTGTGAGCTTGGCTGTGGTGCCCACAAAATGCCCACGCAATGCCCACATGATGCCCAGGCTTTGCCTTCTTCCCCGGTGACCGTTGTTGTTGTTCCAGGAGAACCCGTACCTGTGCAGCGACGAGTGCGACGCCTCTAACCCGGACCTGGCCCACCCGCCCAAACTCATGTTCGACAGTGAGGACGAGGGGCTGGCCACGTACTGGCAGAGCGTGACGTGGCGCCGGTACCCGGAGCCGCTGCTGGCCAACATCACCCTGTCCTGGAACAAGAGCATCGAGCTGACGGACGACATCGTGATCACCTTCGAGTACGGGCGCCCCACCATCATGATGCTGGAGAAGTCGCTGGACAACGGGAGGACTTGGCACCCGTACCAGTATTACGCAGATGACTGCATGGAGGCCTTCAGCATGCCAGCACGGAGGGTCCGAGACCTCTCCACCACCAGTGCCAACAGGGTCCTCTGCACGGAGGAGTATTCCCGCTGGGCGGGCTCCAAGAAAGAAAAGACCGTCCGGTTCGAGGTCAGGGACCGCTTTGCCATCTTTGCTGGCCCCGACCTCAAGAACATGGACAACTTGTACACCCGGCTGGAGAGCGCCAAAGGGCTCAAGGACTTCTTTACCGTGACTGACCTGCGGATGAGGCTGCTGAGACCCGCCCTGGGGGGCACCTACGTGCAGAGGGAGAACTTGTACAAATACTTCTATGCCGTCTCCAACATCGAAGTCACTGGCAGGTAACGGCTGCTGTATTTCTTTGGGCATCTCTTCTCTGAGGGATGAGAAGTCACTGCTGGTAAACTAAGCCATCAGCATTTCTGCAAACAGTGTTTCTCCCTCCGACAACCGTCCTCCCCAGGCAGGGCAGCACTGGAAATAAAACAGATGTGTCCTTGCAGGGAACGGCTGGGGCACCTCCAAGGCTGTGCCTGAGAGAGGGGCTGTGTCCTCCTGCAGCTGGTGCTGGGGGAAGTGGGACATGGCTTAGATGGACAGTCGGGGTCTGAATTCCCTCCCAATACCCTGTCCCCAGCTGTGCAAACACAGCCAGAAGTCCCAGGGGTGATGCTGATGCATCTGGGGGATGAGGAATGATGCTCATCCCACTAAACTCCAGCTCACTGCCAGTACAAGCAGGATGGGTCATCCCGAGTCAGCCCAGCACCCCCTGAGCAGCCTCAGCTCCAGCAGAGGAAGTTTGGGGTGAGGGTAAACCCCCCAGACAGATCTGGGGCAGGGGAAGTGGGTGGGGGGGTGTTTCTCCTGGCTTTTGTTTTTAATTTCTCTGTACGGTGCCATATGTTACGTTATGACATCAACTGAAAAAGCAAAGTAAGGTGGAAAAGTGCCGAGATGGCTGATTTCCCATCCAGCTTGTGCGAGACTTACAGGCGAGAGGGGAGAAATCTCCCCATCACCCACCCCGTGCTAACAAGCATCACCACAGCGACAGAGGAGCCGTTTGTATCGGTTCCAAACTGTTTGCTACTGAGACTTGCAAGTAGAAATGTTTTGCAGGTGCCACTGAGGCTGGCTTTGAACAGGCTCCAAGGGGAAGGAAGCTGCAGTGAGGGATGGGAGAGCCCCTTCCACCCGCCAGGGCAGGCAGGAGGCAGCGGTGAGGGTCTTTCTCACAGTGTGGTCACCTGTCTGGGATGAGCAGCTGTGGTTCTCAGCTGGGCTGGTGGCATGTTGGGGTGCCCACCATTGGGATTGCTCAGGGAGAAGCCCTGAGGGGCTCAGGCACACGGGCAGAGGAGTGGCAGAGTCCAGGTTTCAGTGCAAGGTGCTTCTGTGTAGATATATGCTGCCCATAAGAAGCATTGCCAGGTGTACTAAATATCCACAGTCCAAAACCAGCTCGGGATGCAGCAAAATAGCAAAGTAAGGAGGGTGGAAGGGAAGGAAAGCAAGCAAAGGCAAGGAAAAAGGCAGGTGCATTGCCATCGCCTCCACCCCAGTGACAACCAGTCCTGTCCCCTGCTCCTTCTTTTGTGGCCCTGCTCCTCCCCAGGTGGCCCAGCTGCCCACAAGGACACTTGGTGTTACTGACAGCAGTGGCAAAACCACAGGGATCAAACCCCAGCCAAAGCCCACACTGATATCAGAGCATCTGGCAGGAAGGGTTGGAGCTGGTGTATCAGTTTGTCCGGGCTGGTTAGACTCTGTAGCAGGGACACAGAGTTTTCAGCCTAGAAAGTAGTAACTTAGGACTAAAGGTTTGATGTCAGTGCTTGTGCAATGACCTTTGGCTTCCGAGCACAGACATAACTGCAGATAACCAAGGACTTGTTGCTGCTCCTGCAGCAACTGCAGGATACTTAATGGTTCAAAGAGGTAAAGTACTCTTGGTGTCCCATGAACATGATCCTCCTCCTCCTGCCTTTACCTTCCCTGCCTGCCTTGGGCAGCACTTGTTGCTCCAGTACTTTGGATTTCAGGCCATGCTGACAGGATTCTCCCCAAACCAGCACCTTGCTGTTGGCTGCCCTCCTTCCCCCCCACCCAGTCCCTCACCAGCTTTTGAACTCACCGGCCAAGTTTAACACCATTTAATAGTAGCAGCCATCGGTTCAAGAGATTAAAATCCAAAAAAAATCTGCAAAAAGAACTAGGGCAGGGGGAGGGAAACCCTTTCAAACACCCAGGGCTGGGGGGGGAGGGGGGGTCGTGTCACAACCTCTCTGAGACATCCAAGATTCCACAGCCACCTGCACCCCGAGGACAGGGCTGGCGACGGAGGGCCAGGCTGCAAGTCCCTGGTGGAAGCTGCAATGCTGCTTTTTAGCTGGGGCCAGGATGAGACAGGTTGGGGTTTGTTGGTTGGTTCCTGGCAGCCTCCCCCCGGAGCTGGCTCTCTGCCGGTGTGGCCGGCTGCCCACGGCTGCTGCAGAGCAGCGGCTCCCGCTCGCCTCCACTTCCCTCTTGGCTCCACTCACCACGAGCTGCCTGACCCACTCCTCCCATGCAGCAGGGCCTCTGGGAGGACAGGGCTTTTCCTTGGCTGGGAACACAGAAAACTCTGAAATCTGCTTTTTTTCCAGCCCAAACTCCCAAGTCTTGAGCTTCAGCAAACCCAGCTTTGCACTACTCCTGCTCCCCCAGCATGCTGGGATGGTTCCCAGGAGAGGGGGACACAGCTTGGACAGGGAAAAGGTCGATGCCTGTCCTGTGCTGACTCTTCCAGCCCTGGTGGGCACAGGACAGAGAAAGGTGACCAGCTGAGGAACTGTGGATTAGTGGTGTATAAGATGGAGAAGCCTCATGTGAATTAACTCTGCTCCTGTGATTATTCCAGTCCCAGCAAGCAGGTTTCTCGCTGAAAAGCAATCTAATTCCAGCTGTAAGCAAAGCCAGTTACAGTGCAGGGACTAAAACCAAATTAAATCTTGTGTATGGCTCAACAAGGGATGGGTTATTGAGAGGAAGAGAGGAGAAATCAATGTAAGCCTGACAGGAGCCCTGTGCAGGGAAGGGGGAAGGAAGGGTAGGCAGGGATGGAGATGGACACACACTGCCACTTCCAGCATGTGGGAATGACTGTGTTTGAGGAACAGAAGGAAAGTTCCTAGATAAAATTGGAGAGGTGTTAGGGATCCACTGCAGGGGGCATGGAAACAAGAGGGAAGATGATTATGAAAAAATGAGGGCTCAGAGGCAAAAAGCAGCCAGAAAATTCCACCTGGAGAGCAGAGGGGTGAGCAGCCCGGGGAGGCTGGAGGAGCTGTGCCTGGCCATGGTGTGTGGCATTGGAGGAGCAGTGTGTGCTGCCAGAGTGTGGCATTGCCTCTGTCCCTGCACAGCACCAGGATTTTGGCAGCAGCTGGCAGTGCCCACGGGGTGATGAGACACTTGGCAGCTCGTTTCTAGTTGATGTTCACAGTCAAGGGAAGAGTAAAACGCTTTGCCCTCAGAGCAGACCATGAGCCAGGGCAGTTTCTCATGCTGAAGCCTTGGCTGGTGGGTTCAGAGAGGTTTCTGTCATCCCCTCACTCCACATGCTCTTGGGCTGCCATCCAAGCCCACCCCTTCCTTCACACCTCAGCCTCCCACCACGAAAGATCCCTCACCACAGTCTCCCAGAACTTCAGGGAAAAGCAGAAAGAGACAGAGCAAAGGACACAGGGACAAGGGGAAGGAATTCTCTGCCTTCTCCCAAAAGCCAGATGGACTGGGGTGGTCAAGAGTTTGACACAGGATCTGGTGAATCCAGGGGATCACTGCTTCTTCCCTGGGAGCTGGTGCAATGGGCTGGTGCTTCAGAGTCTCCTCTGCATCTCCTCCTCCCACAGCCTCAGCTGGGTCCATTTCTCCGTTCATGGCTGACAGTTTATTTTTACTCTCTTTCTTCTTGGTATCTTTTTCTTTTCTTTCTTTTTTTTCCCTTTCTTCTTCCATCCTGTCCCTATTGATCCACGGAGTAACTGGAGACGCAGAAAAGTCAAGACAGGAATAGACGCGAGCGAGCCCTTGGCCTGTGTGCTGTGTGTGTGTGTGTGCCAGGCAGGGTGGGGAAGGGAAGCGGGAAGACTTTCCCCCACAGATCTCTGCCCATTGCTTCATTTTCTCCTCGGTGCAGCAACGAGCTCGGTCATCTCCTCAGGAATGGGTGAATGAGCTTTCCCCAGCTGCCGGGGCCGGCGCGATGAAAGCCGCTGCTTCTCTTTCCATTACACACTGAGTCTCTTTGGAGTAATTTTTTCCCCTCCATAACGTCAGTCACCGCCGTGCTCAGCAGGCCAAGCTCCATCACGGAGACATTAATAAGCTGTAATTGAAGTTAATGTGCCATGGCCGGGACATGTGGATCCAGTTAGGAGAAATCACATTGAGCAGAAGCGAATCAATTTTAGGCTGATTTATATTAGGATTTCTCTCCTTTATCCTCCCCTGCCCCAATGCATGCACTGTCTGTCTGTCTGTCCATCCTGCTGGTGACGAGCAGTCCCTGGAGGAAGGCAGGAGGAGGGAGTGTTCCTCATCCCTGAGCAGCTCCATGGAACAGTGCCTCCTCTCAGGCTGCACTCAGGCCCAAGAGGGACCAACAAGATGAGGTTTCCAGTTTTGTAACAGCATTTCCTTTCCTGTTTTCTTGCTTTTCTGATGGTTTCCTTGGCTGCTGCTTTGGTTACACAAAATTGGAGGGAAAGGCCCTTTGGTTACACAAAAGAATTGAAGGGAAAGGCCCTTTGTGCTCCCCTCCTTCTTTCCCTGCTTTCCTCTTGTGTGCTCTTGGTGCCTTGCTCGGATACTCTTCGGGAGTGTGACTTGGAGAGTTTGTGCTAGTGGAGCAGTCTCCCAACAGCCAGGATCAGGGACACCAGACCTGGAGGATCAAGGCCATCTCCAAAAGCACCTCCTGCAATAAATGGAGCTGGTCGATTGTCAGTGGTACCCACATGAAACAGAAGTATTTTTCTGCATTCATGGTCAGTTTTGAGATGTGGGGATGCTTGATGCTGCATTGCTGTTAAAGGTGAAGCAGTTTCTGCTTGGCCTGGTCACTGTCTCCTGCTCTGCCCTCCTGGCCAGCACATTGAAGCAGCTCAATGCACTTCCCCTGCAGTTGTACCTCAGTTCAATCCAGGGTGCCAGAGCAAAGTGCATCCTGGCAGCCCCTGGGCTGTTTGCCCTGCTTGGACATTCCTCCTTCTGGTTCTGTTGAAGTTGTTGGAGACTCTCCAGCTGATCTTGGCTTTTCCAGCAAAGCTGTCTGTATAAAGGAGAAAAGAAGCAG